TGGTCCTAAATATATTTCTGTAGCGCTTTTGAATACTTAATGAGATTTTATTACTCTACACTCTTTTGAAATAGACTATATACTAGTTGGAAAATTTTGATCATACTCACCTCAACCAACAATTTGGCACATTTTACATCTGTAACCAAAGGTATAGAGTAGTCTATTGCCAACCTTCTGGTTCTGTAGCCATGTGTCATGAAGGAAGACACTCTTCTAGCTCCTCCATTCCTCATTGGCAAGTTGATAACCAAATCGAACTGTTTTTTTGAAAGAAATTCTGCCAACGGTCTCAGCTCGCCCTGACTGGTTATGTCGTCTATGCTGTCAAAGGTCCATTGAACAGATTCAACCTGAAACAACATGTTATTCTCTAAAATCTCAATGAAATAAATTGATGAGAGGTTATTATTAATATATTTAGCACTTGATTCGGTATACCTCTGGCGTTACCAAATGTTCTCTGGGGCCCTAAGCTGACCTTAAACTTTGACTTTAGATAAAGTCTAAGGTCAGGTAAGGACCCCAAAGAACCTTTAGCTGCGGGTTGGTCTATATGGAACCACTAAAAGAAGTTAAGGTACCCGTCTCTCTGAACACAAGAGAAATTGTCGACTTGGACATGCTTTCAACAAAGACGGCACTTATATTATCTCATTCAAAAATACAGTGATGCTAGATAAAACTGAAAATTACTATCCAATAGTATATAGAGAGGCAATAGAAATTAAAAAACACAGGGATAATTTAAGTGGAAAAGAATAACAATAATAATCTTTATTTGAAATAGGAAAATCCTAATTTACATACATTTCTAATATTTCTGTTACAAATTTGTTACATATTGGAATTATTTAAAAAATATATGACAAACATTAGATGAATACATTCTGAAGTTGATAAATAAGAGAGGCATGATAATATCTCAAAAAAGAAAATTGTNGGTGGGCAACACTTGTTTGCCGAAAGTAGGAAACAACACATATGCACTGAGTCAACAACAGTTTTAAATTTACTTAGAGATAGTTGCACTGATGACTCACACGAGTGCATTTGGCGAAATCCCGATTGTTTGTTGATTGAAGTGTCGTTTTTTCAACATATTCAATTAGTCGATTATAAATTGCTGTTTCTAGTACCTTCTCAATCGGAGGTAAAGTGTTGATTGATCTGAATTCTTTAGTTTTAAAAGTATGAGGAATTTTGGGTTTCGGAACAATAGTAAAAGAAGAGGCAATGCACATAAATAAAATCTCTCTTCCTGTCCTTAGAGGTACACAAACAAGGTTAGGTAATCCAAATGAGAGAAACCAAGCCACTCTCACTAATAATAATATAAAACCAGAGTCAAATACCAGCATCGTAGTTACTGTATTCAGAACAACGGGAACAACTCAAGCATCAACTCAGGCACTATGACCATTACTACCATCGCCTTTGATAATGTCTATCGCAGTAGTAGACGAAACACCAGGCATAAAGAAAAAAAAACCGGAAAATAACTTTCACACAGTTTTTTTTAACTATTTTTTCTGTGTAAACTCCAAAAAACTTCAAAGTTGTCATACCTACAGAACAGACGTTCTGTTATTGACTTACAAACCTGACAAGAAATGAAATATTTAAAAAAATATTTTTTTGTACAGGATCCTACAATATTGTCATTATCCCGTTTTGAATGAAGTGCAAAATCGGCCTTGTTAATTAAAAAAAATCCTTAATCCTAAAGAATCCTTAATTCATCTATTAAATATAACCGTTCTGAACAGAATAGGGAAAACATATAATTCAAAAGGTTCAATTGAAAAAAAGTGTTTGCAATTGAAACAAAAAGTTTTTCCAATTGGAAAAATCCAAAGTTACTCTACATGTAGTTCAAAATTACACTTTACACATAACAGAATTTGATATAGTTGAGTTGGTAATAATAACTTTGGTCCAAAATTCTACAATGTGATTTTACCATTCGTTCAAAAAATTAGTAAATATATGAAAATTAAAAAAGGAGTTCACGAAATTTTATGTGACTCCTTTCGCTATATTCTCAGAACGCCATTTTGAGGAAAATTATCTGGGATACGTAATTTTGGGCTACTTCTTGAATAAAAATGCGCAAACGTTTCAAATGGTCAAATAGATTAATTCATCGGATCAATCCATGGACTCATCGATAAATATGAGAATTCGTCGTTTATTATGTGTTGTTTGAGTTGTACCAACAGATGTAAACACATCAATGAAGATTTCTTTCTTATCCGTTTTTAATATTGTTTCTGAAATATAAGTGAGTAGGTCAATTCGACCCTCCACCGCAACCCGCAAGGGTTTATTGTGGCTCACACTTATTCACACTCGACTGAATAAACCCAGCTCCTTAACGAAGCTGATTAGTTTATATGGTGAGTGGTCTTTAAGGTCAGATGGTAAGGGTACAGATCTGCCGAAATTTAAAAACCTGATTCGGTCCCCATCGGGGCTGGCACAAAGTATATGCTCTGCTGTTTCATCATTTTCCAAACAGAGGCGACACACACTTGCCATCCAGGTGTTCAATGGTTGTTTGGCAAAGCCTAAAGCGATGCCAATGACAGGTTCTGGTCCGATGAAGCTGCTTGCAGCACCCTCCTTTGCAAGGGAGTCAGCAGCTTCATTGCCTTCCAAGCCAGTATAGCCAGGAATCCAGACCAGAGGCAATATGTTAAGTCTTTCTATCGAGGAGAGTCGTTTTTGGTAATTTGCTACCAATTTCCGCTTGAAATACAGTCGCATAAATTCCTAGGCAGGTAGATATCTCTGTCCTGGGTCTGCAACTAAAAACACCTGCACCAGAACCGGAAGGTGTTTTTGATCCATCTGTGAACCAACAACTATCTGCTCTTAATATTTCCTTCTCCCGGAGGATCAAGTCCTCTCTACTCGGGAATAGTACTTTATAAGGTAGTTCTTAGTTGACAGTTGGAGGCATAAAGTCAGAGGTCTTCTCCAGAATGCTGTGACTTCCAGGGTCAACCAACAGTCTGTTCCACTCTGCATTGAATTGATTTTTACAATTGGCAATGTGCACAAGTCTATACGCAGTCCATCTAACCCCTCTCTCCAGAAAAATGTGGAAAGAAGGTAGATGTAGAAGGATCTCCATGGCCGCTGACGGTGTGGTACTGATGGCACCACTGATAGCCAGACAAGCCTGTCTTTGTAAGCCAGTGTCTCAGGTTAGCATAACTTGTATCTCACATTTCAAGACAATTTATCCTGATTTATAATAAATATTGATTCACTACCTGTTAGAAATTATTATAATTATTCATTCTTGAATTTTACCGATAACTAATCCTTAATAAAAATTTATCTTGAAAAAAAATGCGAAGCTTAGCTTCTTCTGGTAAGTCAAGAAAAATCTTTTTTTTTGAAAAACTATAATACAGATTCTGCTCATAAGGATACAATCTTCCAACTTTCACAGCACACATAATTTGGATTGAAGATGTAACGCAATTCCTCACAAACATTCAAGGTAGATTGTTCAGGATTGATTAATCAGAAAAAATACTCACGTCAACTCCATGCTCGTTATAAAAATCTGCAGTTCCTAAACTGGCATACAGCTTATAGCCCATCTTCTGCAATGACCTCATACTAGGCAACAACTCCATTTTGTGCTAAAAAACAAATATTTTACTTTCGGCCTAGCCTTCGGATAAAAAAAAATTACCTTAAAACTTCCTATGGAGAGCAAGATAGATTTTTTAGGAATACTGAATCCAGTGCTCATCATGGCTTTCAAGTATGCCTCGTGTCTATTATCACCGAAACCCGCTACTTCTCCTGTAGAAGCCATTTCAACGCCCAACATGAAATCGGCACCAGCCAATCTGGAGAAAGAAAACTGAGGAACTTTCACTCCTACTTTGCCACATCCATGCAACACATCAACCGGCTCAACTTCCTCTCCTACTATAACCCTTGTGGCCATCGCAACGAAATCGTGATTCAAAGTTTTTGACACAAAAGGAAACGATCTTGAAACTCTCACGTTACACTCTATTACCTTGAGGTCGTTATCTTTAGCTATGAGCTGCATGTTGAAAGGACCAGTAACCTCCAATGAAGCAGCTATTGACCTGACAATGTGTTTTATTTTTGCCAAGGTCTCAGTGTTGATATCCTGAGGAGGTGTTACGAGCGTAGCATCTCCAGAATGTACTCCAGCATTCTCAACGTGTTCAGATACTGCCATACACAGGATGACTCCTTCGTAAGCCACTGCATCAACGTCTATTTCTTTACTCTCCAGCAAGAACTTTGATATCACTACAGGATGTTCCTTACTGACGTCACTAGCTGCATTCAGGTAAGTTTCCAGATCTTGATCTGAGTGAGCTACATTCATTGCTGCACCGCTGAGTACATACGAAGGCCTGACAAGACAAGGGTACCCTACTTCGTTACAGAACTCTGTCGCCGATTTTAAATTAGTTAACTCTTTCCATCTCGGTTGCATTATTCCAATTCTATCGAGCATTCGTGAGAACTTGAATCTATTTTCAGCACCGTCAATACTCTCTGGAGAGGTGCCCAAAATCCTTGCCTGCTGTCTGTGCAAGTCTATGGCTATATTATTTGGAAGTTGACCACCCATTGACAAAATTATCCCACATGGATTTTCTATGTTGTATATGTCCATAACGACTTCGAAAGATATTTCTTCAAAGTATAACCTGTCAGACATGTCGTAATCTGTACTAACAGTCTCGGGGTTATAGTTTACCATTATTGTCTTGCGATTGAGACGTCTCAGCTCTCTCAGACACCCGACAGCACACCAGTCGAATTCAACAGAGCTCCCGATTCGATAAACACCAGAACCGATCACCATCGTGTGTTCTTCATTGAAATCTAAGTCGTGAGAAAATGCATTGTATGTTAGGTAGAGATAATTAGTCGTGGCAGGCCACTCCGCTGCTACGGTGTCGATTTGTTTCACAAAAGGTTTTATATTGAGCTCTTCTCTCTGCATTCGTACAGCAAGTTCTGTACTTTTAACGGCCGAGGCAATCTGTTCATCTGAAAATCCAATTTGCTTAGCTTTCAGCAGAAGACCATGCCTCAAACCATTTTGGTCAATCGTTTCAAGCAGATTATTATACTCTATGATATTTTTCATTTTTTGAAGGAACCACTTATCGATTTTAGTAAGGTCATACAACTTATCTATAGAGTAGCCACTTTTCAAAGCTGCTGCAAGTACAAACATCCTTTTATCGGTAGGCTCTTTTAATTCATCATCATTCACAGGCTTCAAGTAGGGATCAAAGCCTGTCACATTCTCATCAACCATCCTTAAAGCTTTTTGAAATGCTTCTTCGAAATTTCTTCCTATAGCCATCACTTCCCCCACACTCTTCATAGAACTACCAATCTTCGTGCTGACCCTGGAAAACTTATGTAGATCCCACCTTGGTATTTTCACTACACAGTAATCGAGGTTAGGTTCAAAACAAGCAGTAGTGACGCCGGTAACTGAATTTTTGATCTCAGGTAATGGTATACCCAAAGCCAATTTGGCTGCTACATAGGCTAAGGGATATCCTGTAGCTTTGCTAGCCAAGGCAGAGCTTCTGGAAAGTCTCGCATTTACCTCAATGATGTAATATTCTTCAGAATGGGGATTCAGTGCATATTGTATGTTACACTCACCTACAACACCAAAATGCCTGATGACATTGATTGCTGTTGTTCGAAGCATATTATATTCACTATTTGTGAGTGTCTGACTTGGAGCTACCACTATGGATTCTCCAGTATGTATTCCAAGTGGATCTACATTTTCCATGTTACAAACCGTTATGCAATTATCAAAAGCATCTCTCACAACTTCATATTCAACTTCCTTCCATCCCCTCAAGGATTTGTCAATGATCAACTGACTAGAATGAGCGAGAGCTTGTAACGCTAAAGCTTTCAATTCTTCTTTACAATTGGCGAATCCTGAACCTAATCCACCTAGAGAAAACGCTGCTCTGGCCATAACAGGGTAACCCAACTGATCGGCAGCTTCTAACGCCTCTTGAACAGAATGAGCCGCCATACTCGGAGCAACCTTCTCCCCTATTTCGGATATTCTCTCACTAAATACTTTGCGATCTTCCGTGTCGATGATTGCCTGAATAGGTGTACCCAAAATTTGGCAATTATACTTTTTGAAGACTCCTAACCTCTCCAATTCGACACCACAATTCAATCCTGTTTGTCCACCAAAAGTTAACAGTACTCCCCCTGGTCTTTCTGAACGAATTACCTGCTCTACATATTCCGGAACCAGTGGCAGGAAGTAAATTTTGTCCGCCAGCCCTTTTGATGTTTGAACTGTGGCTATGTTGGGATTGATCAGCACTGTTTGGATGTTTTCTTCCCTGAGAGCTTTTATTGCTTGGGAACCTGAGTAATCGAACTCTCCCGCTTGCCCAATAGACAATCCTCCTGAACCAATTATCAACACTTTTTTGGGTATATGTGTGAGTGCAGGCTGTGGTTTGTTGTATTTTAACTTATCCGTTAATAATTGCCTGACATTGCTCTGCTGATCTGCGTAATTCTTTACAACTTCCAAAAATACATCAAACAACACTTCCAAGTCTTGCGGGCCAGCTGTGTGTTCAGGGTGGAATTGTACGCTAAAATAAGGAAGCTGACTATGGACTATACCTTCATTTGTTGCGTCGTTGGCATTTGAAAAGAGAGGCTCCCAATCACCAGGCAAAGTTTTGACATCGATAGCAAAACCGTGATTTTGAGAAGTCATGTAACACCTTCCTGTATCATGATGAATGCATGGTTGATTGTGACCTCGATTACCATATCTAAAAGATATAAACATTGTGAATAAAATTGTTCAGTGACTGTTGAGTATATGACCTACTTCATTTTATAACTGGAACAGCCTATGGCCATAGACAGAAGTTGATGTCCTAGACAGATGCCGAATATTGGTTTGACCTTATTACTGCTAAGAACCGCGTTGATGTTTGTAATGGTCTCTTTGCACATCTCCGGATTACCTGGACCATTACTGAGGAAGAGCCCATCGTACTCATCAATATTCAGTTTGTGATTCCACGGAACAACGTCGACTCTTGCACCTCTATTTATCAAACACCTAATTTGATTGTATTTCAAACCACAGTCGACTGCACAGATCCTAGGCGTACCATTTGGGTTGTATGTGATGGGTTCCTAAAAAGAGAACCACAAATACTTGTCATTTGATTGCATAAACTTGAATGTACTGTATGTCCTACTTATTTTTGGAGTCACGTGTAGTAAAAATTTTGTTTAAACATGTGAAAAAGCTATCAAACATCGTATTCTGTATGCATATACATTTTGAGAAAATATCCAACTTACAAGTCCCATCAGTAAGTAATGACTAACCCAGGTGGAAACATTTCCCAGATTTTTCTCCTTCACACATGTGGGAAAATAAAAAATAACTGTTCATTAATATCATTCCATTATAGATAATTTCATTATTATGTCATCATATATATTAATCGTTTATTTAGCACAGAGATTTCATAGGGTAATACCTATATTTATTTGTATTTTCATATATGTATACATTTTCAATTTCTTATTGTGTATTTGTGTGTATTTACTTTTTACAGTGTGTTTTTTAAACGTGCGGCAAAAATTTAAGGGACTATTCTAAGGATATTTTGTACTTTGATGATTTTTGATAGAGCACTTTGTTTCGAAGATAACAATTGAGTTCAAAATAAACTCTTCACAAAGATGTGTAGATCATACATAGAAGTTACTTTCAGATACAAACTTTTTCAGGGGTGTCTTTACTCTAGCTATTGTATATTGTATAGCGAAACACATGTTGCGTTTTTGTAAAACTGATCCCAATAAAGAATGGTCACAAAGTAAGTGGTAAGTGGTACTTGATCATATCTTGCCAAACTGTTATTGGGTTCAGATTTAAATCTCTGCAAAATGATCTACAAAGAGACTGAAACAGTATTTTTCGTTATATCCAAAGTTGTTTTCCATTTAAATCAAATATACTTTTAGGAGAGAGTAGTTTCTGGAAAAAAATTTTGGCTTTCTACAAAAAAAGGGGGAAACTTCTGAGGAAAGGAAGAAAGTTCAAAATAAATTCTTCACAAAAATATGTAGATTATACATAGAAGTAACTTTCTGATACAAACTTCTTTACGTGTCTTTACACTAGCTATTTTATAGCGAAATACGTGTTGCGTTTTGTAAAACTGATCACAATAAAGAATGGCCAGAAAGTAATTGGTGAGGTCAGAAACGTACAGCCTAATCTGAATAACAAAAAGGTAAATGGTCCCTGTAACATGATTATCTTAATATTCATTAAAAAATAGAAACTTTCCAAAAAATATTGTATTTTCAACAATCATATACAGTAAAAAAGTCTCACCTAATATGCAACGAACATTTTTACAGTTGGAACACTGTCAAGATAAGGTCTCAAAATTTTTCGCTTATATTTTTAAAGATGTGTTACTTTTTCGTTTTTACTGTTTTTTGAATAATTATGCTTTGGCATAACTAGGATGGGGCTGGATAATAATGTTAAATGAACTGGAGTCGCTTAACGAACATGTAAACCGTATGGCCGAGGTGCCCATCTCTCCTCAACAAAAAGGAGAGATGGGCATTAAAGGCACAAGGATAGTTGGGCAGGTGCCCATCTATCCTCGATAACTGAGTTAGATTATATTCTGATATTTTTCTATTAGATGCCAACTGTGTATGTTCGGAAGGGAAACACACAAGCTTCCTGGACCGAGGAATCTCTGCAGGAGACCATTGCCAAAGTAAGAGACGGGCAGAAGGTGCTTGCTATTGCAAAATTATATGGCATC